CAGTCTGAGACTGTGGAATGAGTGATGTGAGACTGAGTAAATTTGTGTGTATGTTTGTGTATAGGATGGCCCCAGAAGTGGCTGCTGTAGAAAAGAATGGAGGTTATAATCAGCTGTGTGATATTTGGGCTGTGGGTATTACTTCCATCGAACTTGCTGAATTGCAGCCCCCCATGTTTGACCTTCACCCGATGAGGTACACATTATGCTCACACACTTCTTATGATGCTTGTTTTGCTGCTCTGTAAGTGTATAACATAAACACAATCTAAAGAGTTTAAAAATATATACACACACCTCTATATATGTGTGTGTGTATATATATTAGTGTGTGTATGTAATGTGCTTTATTTATATATGTATAAGTACACGCACTATATATATTGCTAAACAAATATTGCTACGAAATTAGTAAAAAAATGAGGGGAAAAGCACATGTCCATATATATATATATATATATATATATATATATATATATATATATATATATATATATATATATATATATATATATATAAAAAACACACACTATATAACCTATGATGAGTAATTCTCTAACTTCAGTCACCTGTGTTTTTCTGCATGTAACAACCTAGTTTGCCATTAAGTTCACACTTGTGAAAAAGCTGGCAGTCTATAGCATGTAAATGGTTACCAAGCAACCACATGATGCAGATAAAAAGCAGTGTCACACACTTTAAGTGGTGTTCTAAATAAACTTCTGATCTGTTTAGCCAATTGTGACTGCACACTACACAACATCTATTACATTTCTTACATGTTAGAAATTCTTCATAACCTCAGACAGGTTGATCACGTGACTCTGTCCTGCATCGTTTACATTCTTCATGTAGTGAATGATCAGACATGGTAGATATAGGCTATAGGTAATGACATACTATGTTCGACCATTATTTGAATTGTAGTATGGTTGCCTGGTATTGTCTGGTTTACTTGGAGTCGGTATTTCCTTGGGTCCGTTGCAGTCTGTATATACATGCAGTCTGTATTCTTTTGTTCCCCTCTCATCAGACTAAAATGTTATATAATACATTTTAAAATGTGAAGAGTATGGAGTATAGAATCTACAAAAATAATTATATGAACGTAAAACGTAAAATTTCATGTCAACGGGCCACATTGGTTTTGTAGTTATATGCACTTGTTTTTACACTACTGTGCGTGTAATTTTTGTGTCTACAGGGCTTTATTCCTAATGTCCAAAAGCAGCTTCCAGCCTCCCAAGTTAAAGGACAAGATTAAATGGTGAGTGTATAATTTGAAGTGTTCTTGTGTTTTGGGATAAATTCTTAATACCCTCTGCAGTGTTCATTTTACAGTCCTGGGGGGGGGTGCTGTTTTTTTTTGCCCCCCTTTTTTTTTTTTTTTTTTTAAAACTTTCTTTTTTTTTGTTTTTACAAACTTTAAAATTTTTTTTAAAGTGTCTCTGACCAAGAACCCAAAGAAGAGGCCTACAGCTGAGAAACTGCTCACGGTATGTGTCTGTGTTTTTACCCACCTGCCCCTCTACTGCCATAGATTTTGTTAGTGCTGTGCATTGACCCGTTGTACAGATACTGACTGAGGAAACCAAAAACCACTATAATGAATAATTTGGGTTGACATTATCATGTCACTTCACTTCTGTATGTCGGATGTGGCTGAAGTGAAGTTTAAAACACCCTGGTGTTTATACCCTCTGCAGTAGTCGCCTGTACAGCTGTTTTGTACTGAGATTTTTGTGTTTTGCATAGTGCTATCATTTTCTAATATTTTTGTTTGTTTTTGTGCTTGTGTGTAGCATATGTTTGTGGCTCAGTCAGGTTTGAGTCGCAGACTTGCAGTTGAGCTGCTGGAAAAGATGAATAACCCAGACAACCCGCCTCTCTATATCGAAAAAGACGAGGATGACCTGGAGGTAAGTGTCCATGTGCAAGAGTGATAATAAAACTGATATGTGGACATCCTGAAACTGTTTGGTAGCTTGTTACAGTCAGTGACGTGCTGTAACAGATCTTTTATCCTGTCCTACACACTCACCCTGCTTTTCTTACACAGTTGAACACTTCCTTTATTCTGCCGTTCAGTATTGTAGCATTAAAATGTCTAACTGCATTCTCTTTTTCACTCTCTAGCCACCGCATCCTCCGCACACCATCCGTTCAGCCCCAAACAAGGATGCTCGAGCTGGAAAAACTCGGTCTGAGATTGACTGTAAGTGTGCACCTGTGGAATCACATTGTCCCAAAGGGGGAAAAAAAGTATTTGATCCCCTGCTGATTTTGTACGTTTGCCCACTAACAAAGAAATGATCAAATACTTCTTTCCCCCACTAGTAGTCATCAACTGGAAAATTGGCGTTCCAGTCCTAGCGGCTCAAACGATCACTGTAGCAATAACGATCACCATACAAAAATAAGGCATAACCTCTGGGGTAAAATTTGCTTAATCTGCAAATCTGAGGTACCTCATTTGTATTGATTTGCAGAGACTTTTACATTTTCAAAGTTTTATTTTTGTAATTTCTCGTCATTTGAGCATCATATGAGTTCTAGTTATGGAGAATAATCCTATAGTCTTTCTTACACTGACATTTATCTTATATTTATCTTACACTTCTTACATATTATGAGATACAACACAATTTTTTTGTCAGCTTTAAAGCTGCAGGAGCTTTCCAGACAGACATTTAAATCATCCAACTTAATAACAATCTCAATACTTGGAATCTCTCGACAATTTTTGATATCAATCACCCCAAGCCTAAATAATATGCCTGTTTGTTGAACATCTCTGCCTTTGCAGTGCTCCTTCAAAGCTCCCTCTTTGTTGTTTTTGCCCTTCTCTGTGTCACTGAGTTGCCATTTCAGTCTTATAATGAATGATTAAACACCGTAATATTCATGTGACGTATAGGATTGAGAATATTTTTGGCTTCATTATTTGATTTGGGGTATATTTGCCTGTCATTACCTAGTTTTACTCTAGTTCTTTAAAAGTGAAATGATGCATTAAATGTACAGTGGATACTACATGTGTCACTACACCTCCTTTCATAGTGCAGGCTGTTACCCAGGAGTATGAAAATAAATATCCTTGTGATTTATTTTTTATTTTTTTTGGTCGGGAAGGTGTGTCTTGGAAATTAATGACTGCCTCGCCACTGTTGAAATGCGCATAAATCAGACGCAGGGGACAAACACAGAACAAAGTGATCATACATCACAAATAAAGAACATAGGGACACACCCAGTGTTCCCTGGATAGGTGCCGGATACGCTGCAAACTTGACCAGGATATAGAAAAATTGGCTGCTTGGGATAGATTAGTCTTTGGAGGCAACGAAATATTTGCATCGAAGTAATTTCGATGTTCGACATATTGGAGATCTCCTTGTAGGAATTTATACACTGGCACATATTAACCCTTATCTTGGTTGTCTTTTCTTGTCCCTGAGATGATTATTTGGGTGAAGTTGGGATTTTATTTTATTTTATTACACTTTTTTTTGGCAGTTAGCAACTGCAAACACCCCAACTGAAATTAGCACACAGTCTCAGGCGTGTTGACTTTGACTTGGTCTATCTAGGTAGTGTGTACGCATTAGAGTGATCTTGAATAACGGATAAAGCCGTGCTACAACCTGAGTTTCATTTCATCTTTGTGTGTGCACATGCATTAATTTCACTTTTGCATGTTTTCATTTTATTTCTGGAATTGTTTTCACATACTTATTTAAAGAGTAGGTATTATTTTCTCATGTGGCTCACAACATTGTGGGCTTGACCACACACTCAAACAGTAGCTGCTGCATAAGGGCAAGTGTTCGTGTGAGAATGACTCTAGCCCAGGTAATTTGTAGGAGGGAGAGAGTAAATGGTTTCCTATGTGCACAGTACATGGTGTGCGTGTGTGTGTGTGTGTGTGTTGGCCTTAATGCGTATATAAAATCAGCTATCTAAAAAATAAGTATGATAATGGCTGATGTGTATTTAAACAGTTCTGGTTTTGTACACCATATTAGTGTGGGGTTTTTTTTTGTGTTGGGTGGTTGTCCGAGTTTGCATGTTATCATACCAAGTGATGTAGAATGTTACATTTGAAAGTAACTGTTCCAAAAGCAGAAACCATTATTTTTTTTTAAGAGGCTGGTCTAACAGTGTGTTCTACTTGAAAACTCTTGGCCAGATCTGTAGAACCTGTTGCTACAGCTTCTGCTGTAAAAACCTCTTCTGCTTTATTGCCACAAAGTTTCTGTCTCACATCCTCTGAGACACAATCATACAACCCAGATGTCATTACTGATAGTCGCACGTTATCCATGCAGTCAGTCAGGTATGCCATTTGTCATAACTTTATGAAGTTTTTACTATTATTTAAAAAGGAGCCCCTATTTTACAAAAAATAATAATAAAATAAATAAAAAATTAAAATGTAGTTTATTCTCTGTGCAAGCTGTATGCTGCTAACACCGCTATCTAGCCAAAAGTTAAATGCAAACAGACTTTGAATATCTTTTGAATATCTAAATTGACCGTTATAGTATTTGGATTTTCTCAAGTTCTGATGTCTTGTTTCTGTGTTTTGTCCATTGCTATGCATGTGTGGGTGTCTGAGTGCGCTTAGAGTACAGCCAGTCTACAACCCTAAATGGTTATGTAAAAAGTGTTTCTGACGCACTTGACTCGTGTTTTGTCACTGTAGAACATTGCGCTAACTGTCTATCATGGACACCAATGGAAGTTCATTTTAACTTTTTTTTTTTTTTTTTTTTGCCCCTGGTGGGGAACGAGTGCAATGTCTGCATGCCTCCAGAAGAAAGAGACCAGATGTAAACCTGGCCAGCCACCAGCTTTTAAGATTGCCAACAGCAGAAGTTTTAAGGAATATAAACACACTGCTATTTTATTTTTTTTTGTTGAGCTGGGCTATATTTGGTAGAAGTGAAGTCACTGCTACCAAAGTTACAATTAGCTTTAACATCTTGCATCAGCTTCTGGGTACACTGGTTTAGTGGTTAGCATGTTTGTGTCACACCTCTGTGGTTGGGGGTTCAAATCCCACCTCTGCCCTGTGTGTGTACAGTTTGCATGTTCACCCTGTGCTTTTTCCTCCGTGTACTCTGGTTTTCTCCCCCAGTCCGAAGACAACTTGTCAGTAGAGTGTGATTGTACCCTGCGAAGGGTTGGCACCCTGTCTAGGGTGTCCCCCACAAAGTTCACCTGGATGGGCTCTAGGCTTCTTGGGGTATGGAAAACGGATGAACGGACATCAGCTTCCCTTTTACCCCAGTGCCAGAAATTAGAGACTTCTTTCCTGTTCACTTTGCAAATGTGTGCCTGAACTTCAGCAAAACTGCTTCTAGATAAAAAAATCTTTAACCTTTTTTACATGCACTATTTTTGCGCAATAATTTGAATGTGGTAATGTGTTTGACACATTTAATAATATTCATTAGCATTTTTCGCATTTGTATGCTAATCTCCCAAAGTCATCCTCGGACAAATACAACAAGGTTAATCTTGCCAAGCTTTGCTGCAATTTGATTAGCTTTACTATACTCCGAGTTGCCACTATCCTCCATTTTATTAAATCAGATGCATACCATGCTCTGTATTGCTTTTTAAACTAGCTGAGGGGTAAGTAGCAGTGGCATGTATCCAAAGTGCTGTTACATTATTCTACCTTGTTTCCTTAACACAGCGCTAATAGAATAATGTTCAAAATACACCAACACACCATCCCATGACTTTTTTTTTTGACTGTCATTCCTACGGGCCTTTTTAATACTAGCACAGTTGGGGTTATTTACATTGCCGGGGAGATGTTACTGTCAATCAGTATGCAATCTAACGCACCCACATGGTGCACATCAAGCAGAAAAGGTCTTGTGATAATTGTGAATCATGGCATTGTGAATGTTTCTTAATCTAGTACGTCTTTCTGCTGTGTTGTAGTTAACAAGCTGCGATTTGAGCCTCCACTCAAGAAGGAAACCGAAGCAAGCTCTGAAATGGTGAGCACTCCAGCACTGTAGAATTTTATTCAGTCTCAGCTCACACAGACACCAGAGCTGGTATACTACAACTTCTAACCAGAAGTTGCAGTGGAACCAAACTGATTACTAGTACAGTTTTGGCAAAAATGCCAGTCTAAAAATAACCCAGCCTTCTCTGTGATTTGCGAGGATTAATGATGCAATAATATGATGTCGCTCTCCACAGGATGTGACCAGAGAGAATGATTTCTCCTCTCAGTGGAGCCCATTTGCTGAGGGAGGCATCTCCTCCAGGTAACTATAGAAACAGTCGGAACGGAGACCATAAACAAACCAGCCTCCCTGCAGGTGGCCTCCTATCACTACTTAATAATGTAGCCACGGTCTGAAAGCTTTCTCTGGTAAATCACAAAGATCTGAGTGCGCGCGCACACACTCCACTAACCTGCCCCGTTTGTGTGTCTGATCTCTTGCTGTCTGCTTGCTCTTACTCCCTTTGCGTTGACCGTCTCTGTTCATTTCTTCTGTTCCTTTGTTTTTCTTGCTCCCATTCATCTTTCCACTCAAGGAGCCTCCTGAAAAGTGTGGAGGACGAATTGTTCATACGGTAAAGCAAGAAGTGTGTGTATTTGTACCCATACTTTTTCGGCACCCTGTTTGTGCATCTTCTTACTGCTGCATTTGCTTGTTCATCCTGTAACTGTGGGGGAGGGGTTTGTTTTTTGCACTTCTGCAAGCATTTTCTTTTGTGTTTCTCTGAATTATTCCCCTCCTGAAATGATTGGAACAGCAATGTCAGTTCTTGTGTTTTTGCTGTACACTGAAGACATTTTGGTTTGAGAGGGGGGTAAAAATTGAGATGGTGGATTTATTCTCTTTATCCCCCCCTTCAGTAAATTAAAAACAAGGCAGCCTGTAATTGTCTAGTTGAATCTAATAGAAGTCTGTTCTGTGAATGGAAAGTTTTTATATAAACCTACTATGGTCCCAATACATAACTAATTATATTATTGTACACAGTTAAATAATAAGACTAATTTTTATATAATTGGATTATTTTGATAAAAGAAATACATGGTTCATATAACGGAGTCTCTGAAATGCTGTTTCGGGGTCACCTTGGGGATAATAGAATCTGGATTATTTAATGCAACTTTAAGTTCACATGAAAATATATTTTTATTTTATTTTATTAATTAAAATAAATAAATAAATAAAATATATACACACACATATATATATATATATACACACACACACACATACACACATACATACATACATACACTCATATCATATCATTTGAGTTACTGTCTGGAAAATACAATAAGTGCCATGATTAACAAACAAGTTTCTCCTCTGTCTTCATTTCATTCTTTCTTTTTCTTGTATTTTTTATTTATTTATTTATTTTGCTGCTCCCCTCTGTCCTAACTTTATCCTAGCGGACATATGACTCCACTAGAGGACGCCTTTGAGGATGTAGAGATGTAAGTTTCCTATAGGCTCACTTTAAACAACAATCATTGAAGTAATGTACTCTCAGATTGAATGCGCATACAATTCTTTCTCAAATGTGATTTAAAATTTTATATGTAGTTATATAACGCTTTTGAAAGAATTAGGTCAATGTATAGCATACACATCTCACAAGTACAAACAGGTGCTTACCATAAACACTCACGTCCATGCTCCCTCTTTCACATACACTTTTCCAGATCCACACTAAAACATGGTGTGCCTCCACCTCTTCCCCCTAAGGTAGGTTTCTTGTCTCTGCATGCGCGCGCACACACACACACACTAACGGTCAAAAGTTTAGACACACTCATTATTTATAAAAAAAATTTCCCACTCTTTACAATAATAATAATAGTCATAAACCCCTGGAATAATGCAAATGGGACTATGTGAATTATGTTGTGATTAAAAAAAATCCAAACTTAATCAAATTAATATTTTAGTATTTTCAAAGTTGACACCCTTTTTGCTTAGAATTTTCATTAATGTTTTATTGGCTTTTTCTCAACCAATTTCTTGAGCAATCGGATGCTTTTTAAACAGTATTAAAGGAGTTCCCACCTATGCTGGACACTTATTGGGTGCTTTTTGGAATATTTCACTACAAATCATCCATTTAAATAAAGAGAAGTTTTTTTTGTAAATAAAATTTGTTTTCTAATGAAAGAAATTAATGTTTTCACAAAATGGTTTTTAAGCTCATGAGAAACATTTCAGTCAAGTGTCTCCAAGCTGTGTGTGTGTGTGTGTGTGTGTGTGTGTGTGTGTGTGTGTGTGTGTGTGTGTGTGTTGTGTGTGTGTGTGTGTGTGTGTGTGTGTGTGTGTGTGTGTGTGTGTGTGTGTGTGTGTGTGTGTGTGTGTGTGTGTGTGTGTGTAAAATATTAGTGAAAGTGTTCTTTCTGTTCACAAGTCTATCAGTATTAACTGTGCATTATCCTTTCCATGCTAGCCACATCCTTTCAGCTCATTTGATGAAGTGGGTTTAAGTGATGCCTCTTCGACAATTAAGCGGTTCCCAGGCTCAGATAATGGCCTGGTCCAAGGGCCACGCAGGCAGAGCACACCGGAGAGAGGCAACAGGATCGAACAGATGCAGCATGACCTCTCTGCTAGTGTGAGCAGCCCTGGACTGTTATCAAGCTCCACAGAACAGGGTACTTTTAATACACGCATATGAGCTCTGATTTTAAATGTGCATTACCAAGTTAAAAGCCTTACCCAGTACCTGACCATCTACATGCCATTTATTCAAAACTTTTTTTCTTCCCTTCACCTAAAATAGTGGGCTTTTTCCCCCCCAGCATTCTGTCTGCACTGCACTTGCCATTTCTAGTAGCGAGGCACTCTTTTTAATGTCCTGTTCTTTGGACCCTAGAACTGTATATGGTCTGTCTTCTTTTTTTTTTTTTTTTTTTTTTTCTTCTAAACATCCTCTCCCTTTTGTTTGCTCGTCTTTTCCAAGCATCTGTTCATTCCAAACCAGGAGGTAAGACTTTGCAGCGGCACCACTGTCTGTTTGCTTCACTTTATCCGTTGCATTTCCATTTCTCCATTCCTTAAATAACTGCCCCCCCAATTATTTATTTATTTATTTATTTATTTTTAAGAATACCTTCATATTCTTTCTCTCACTTTTGTCTGAACAGGCGAGGATTCTGAGGACACCCTAAATGGAGACTCTCCTAGATCACCTCCTGGTCAGACACAAAAGAAGGAGAAGAAAGAGTTCCCTGTGAGTGTGTGTAAATGTAGTGAAAATAGATGGAGTAAAAGTGTTGGTCAGTACTCCACAGGTCCATCCATATTTCCATTCACATTAATTTGTTTCGCAGAGGTTCTTATCCAGCACGAATGAAAGCATCTAGTCAATAATGCAAGATATCACATCCAAACGAGAGACATATGCTAGTTTGTACAAATGTTAGAGTATTCTCCGTAGTAAGAAAAGACTGTTACAGACAATCTAAGTGCATACACAATACAAAAGGTAACAAGATGACAATTTCAAAACTTGGTGCATAAATGACAAAAAAAACAATAGGTATTACAAAAGGAAGTTGCTGCAAGGTAAATTCTGAGAACGTAGGGTGTTGTCCCAAATTCTGTCTGAAGTGGAAGGTCTATACACTATAGACAAATTGCTTAGTCCACCAGTGACCAGCCAGGGTGCTGAAGTAGGAATATCTTGCTTTATGAGCACAATAATACCTCCGAGAGATGGAGCGAGAGACCGACATGCCAAGCTCCCTGAAGTGGAAGACCAGAGTTGACATGCAGCTGTCTAGTTGTGAACTAGGGTGTGCAGTGCTCGTTGATGCACGCAATGCCAAGATGAGATTTCTGTTGCAGGAAGCCATTTGATTTTACATGAAAGTGCTTTCTGAAGTTATAAACCAGTTGGGCAGCTGCATTGTGAATGCACTATACCTACTATACTACTATATCTACTAGAGAAAATGTGAAGAAAGACCAGCAAGAAGTGAGAGGAACAGTACTCAAGTATATTAATGACTAGGATTTTTATAAGCAGTTGAGCAGAGTCTGATGTTCTGA